CTCTGGGATTGCAGTACACCTTCTTGCCACTAGGCCACCAGAGCTTGCCTAATTTACATATTCTAATCAATATGTAATAGGATTATATAGCAATACTTACCTTACTTAGACTATAGAACAAGTAGGAAAGTGATGTATGTGTCTTGTCGTTAGGGGCTGGATCTGTGTCTTTCTTTCTGCAGCCAAGGTTGTATCAACTATATAACTCAAGTAGTTTATTAGTCTTCCTTCCCCCAATCCTCTGACAAATTCTTCTTACAATCTACTTTTTCTAATTATTTCTTTGTTACTAGATTTAGTAAGGATAGAGAAAGGATACAAGGAAACAATGTACTGTTTTCTGGTTTTAAACCATGTAGTATACTTTCTTCTGTTCAAATGACTGCTTCTTCCTCTATGTACAAGTTTCACATGAGCACAATTTGGTTTCTAGAATCCAAATTCTTCTGAATGTTAGCCATTGTATATTGCAGTTCCCTCTCTCAAATGCCTGATGAAATACAAAGGCGTTAAGTGTTGACTACAACTGGGGTGGGGGGAATGCTAGAAGAAGCTCAATATTATCTTTCAAAACAAGGTGAAGGACCATTTGGGAATAGGCCATTAATTAATCATGCAAGGTCAAACTGAAACTGGAAAAAAAAAAACCAACAAACTTAAAACAAATCTCTAAGAATCAAAATACAGGTTTAACCAATCTGAGTTTACAAACTATCTCTAGATTTGATACTTTGGACACTAATGACTGAAGACCAAATGGGTTGTGGAATATCAAGGATATCATCCATGAAGAAAGCAAAAGGTCATTACAAAAACAAAGAAGAATAGAAAAAAAAAACCAAAATAGGTTTCATAAGAAACTCTGAAACTGTAAAGAGGCCCTAAGAAAGGGAATAAATGCTAACTAATGATGTGAACAGAAGATTTCAAAGGACTGCTCAAAGAGATGACAAAGCAAAATATAATGAAATGTGCTACGAGTTGAAGTGAGAACATCAAAAGGGAACAATATGCTCACCATTTCTTAAGCAGAAAGAACTGAAAAAAAAATCAAGTTTAAATACTAAATAATTCTATATGGGCAAAATAAGGAATACTAAAAATTCTATAGGCAAAATAAGAAATGATTGGGGCAATATTAAGAAAATATGGAAGAAATATGCACTGTTACTGTACCAAAAAAATTTATTTACAACTGAATCCTTTCAGGATATTAAGAATCAGTGGTAAAAAAAAAAAAAAAAAAGAATCAGTGGTACTTGAAGGAAGGAGCCCGTGCTACCTGGAGGACATTGGCAGCAAATAAGACCCAGGAATTGGCAGTTTACTAGTTAAAGTGTTTCAAGAAACAGATGCAACCCTGGATATGGTCACTAGTTCAGCTGAGAAATTTTGAAGACCTGACGGAAGTGTTAAGGGTTTATTGTGCCTACTGGTTTCCCTAGCGAGTGACCATGACTTTGCCAAGTGAATGGGCGGGAATATGCAAATAGAGTGTGTTACCTTATCCACAAGGCACTTGGCAGGTCTTGCCAATCCACAAGAGGACTAGGTAGTCTCATCATTACATTGACTGGATCCACCAGAAGTTGAGAATCTCTCCACCAGCAAAGAATAAGCAAGAGAATGCAGTCCATTATCTGGGACAAGTCAGACCAGGGCCTAGGGCCTAGTGGAGAACCAGAGACCTCACATAAGATGGAGCTGACCTTGGGACTGCTATGCCATGGACCCAGAGCTAAGAGCCTTTTGCTCAAGTTTCTTGGAGGAGTCAGGGAAAGAGAGAGCCATAATTGGCATGTGTCAGAGCCTAAAGCCATGAGACCAAAGGCTGACAATCCTGTGAGTACATTTCAGAAACTGTTCTGATTGTATTTTGCTACTAACCTGAATAACACTAAACCTTTTTGACTTCCCTATTATGGTTCTGTGTGTTATGTGAGGTATTGCAATGGGTTTTGGACCTAATAAAGTGATTAAGATTAGTGTTGGGTTGAGTGTAAGGAGATGCAGGAGTGTGGGAGGCATATTTCAGACTCAAGGGAATTGGTTTTACATTGTTGATGTTGTTGACAGGGACAGTTCCCCTTTGTAGAGTTGATAAAATATATGGCCTTCCCCACATGGCCCTTGCTCTTTTCACACTAACTAACTGACTAGAAAATATTAATATTTGTTCCTATCTAAAAAACCCAAAACAAAACAAACAAAGCCTATGGTGCAACAGAGTGCAGAAATTATAAAAAAATATCATCAGTATATGTGTGTGGCATCAGGATTGGTGGAAGATCTATCAACAATTTGTGTTATGCAGATGACACAACCCTGCTTGCTGAAACTGAGGAGGACCTGAAGTGCTTGCTGCAGAGGGTCAAGACTGCAGCCTTCAATATGGATTGAGGCTCAATGTCAAGAAGACAAAGATTCTCACCACTGGACCATTTGGCAGCATCAGGATGGATGGTGAAGAGATTGAGATAGTTGACAGCTTTAGTTTGCTTGGCTCCACAGACAACACTCTCAGTAACAGTAGCCAGGAAATGAAAAGATATATTGCGATGGGAAAGTCTGCTGTTAGGGACCGCTCCAAAATGCTGAAGAGCAATGTTGTCTTTCTGGAGACTAAGGTGCATCTGATACAGGCCATAGTATTAGCAGTCACTTGTTATGTGTCAGAGAGTTGGACAGTGCTAGAGAGGATAGAAGCAGAATTGATGCTTTTGAGCTGCTTTGTGGTGCTGGAGAAGAGTGTTGGATGTACCATGGACTGCTGAGAAAACAAAGAGATTCATCCTGAAGAGGGTTAAACCAGGTGGCTCCTTGGAGGCAAGGATTCTGAGGCTTCGTCTGACATACTTTGGACATGTTGTAAGGAGGTACCGGTCCTTGGAAAGGGACATCATGCTTGGGAGGCTGCAGAGACGGCACAGGAGGGGAAGACCCTCTATGAGGAGGATTGATTCAGTGACTGGGGTATTCGGGGTGGGTGTGTCGGAGACAGTGCAACTGGCACAGGACCGAGCAGATTTTAGGGCTGTTGTACGTAGGATCGCTGTGGGTCACAAGTGACTTGACGACACATAACAACAACATCATCAGTATATACAAGTAACGTCTTGTTGAAGCTTAAAAAAAAGTGACTGAAACAGTACATTGACAGAAAATCTGGATTCAGAAGAGTATGTGAAACAAAAGATATCATTGCTGATGTCAAAAGGGTCTTGGCTGAAAGCATGGAGTATCAATCAGAAGGATGTTTACTTTTATTGATCATGCAAAGGTTAAGTTTTACCTTGTAACTCCTAATGCTTTCATAAAACACAACAAAAAACTACAGAGGGATAGCTACTTATTTCTTAAGGCTTTGCAAAGCCTTTGGCTACATTTATCTCAGTTGATCGTTACTTAATTGTACTGAGATATCAAAGCAAGTTCTATCCCACTTTTTTAGTAATGGAATCTAGAGGGGGCAAAAAAATCCACACGCAAGACATCTTCTGTTTAACATTATCATTTAATTCTCCTTGAAGTAAGTGACCTTGCTTTTGACTAGCATACATTTCAGATTGACTAATATATGAGAAAAATGAATAAAAAATTCTTCTAAAAATCCCTGAAGACAGTGGTGCCCATACACAGAGGCCTGAGGTGTGGGCACTCGTGTAGAGTATCCCCCTGGCTAGCAATGTAGTCTGCTTTGTGACCTCAAATCCTGGCTCCAGCTTTGCTATCCCACCATCTGCCACTTGGCATGACATGCACATCTTAGACCTCTAAAACCCTGGGGCCTTTTAGAATGATGGGACTGCAACTGACTGTATAATTTAAGGCCCAGGCTGGATACACTAAGGCACTCTGGCTTATAGAATTGACAAGTGAAACCTTTACTGCTTGACGACTATTGGACACCTTTTCTGTGTATAACTAGGTGCAGTCTCCCCTTCTCACTCTTCAAACTATTCACTTATTAAGAGGAAAATGCTGTCCTGTATATGTCTGTGGTGTAATATCATAAATTAAAATTTATTAGTCTGGGGATCTGAAGATTCTGTATTTTTGTTTATGCATAGAACAGCTATTAAGTGTATTAGGAAGAACCTTGGGGAATAAAAAAAAAGTGTATAGGTACAGTAGCTACAAGTTAGGGTCAAGCATTGCAGCATTAGTGAGGATGGCACAGGATCAGGAAATGTTTACGTCTGTTAGAAATAGGGTCACAATGCACTCCATGATATCTAAGAACAACTATGATGTCTGGAGATGATCAGTGTCCTAGCGTAGCTAGCTTGTTTGTCTGATGTGTTCTCTAAGGAAATTTTGCTTTTATTGCAGATATCACCTGTAATGGAAGCAGAAGAATTGACTAATGATATATTAGCAATAAAAAATATCATTCCTACAAAAGGTGATATCTGGGCTACGTTTGAAGTCATTGAAAATGAAGAACTAGGTAAGAGATTGCCCTGCTGAGGTTTCTTAATTGTTGTGAAGTGTGGGAAATAATATTTTTGTGAAGTGTCATTATGAAAATTTTATGTTGTACTGAAGGTTAATAGCTTGTTATAAATTCCCTTCTATGTCAGTATATGTTGGTCTGAAATAGATTTTTACTACCTGAGATTGCCCTTCTACAGTCTTACTCATCAAAAGGATAGATTATTTTGTGGGATTTAAAAATGAAAGGGTAAAGCATTTGCTATCTATGTTGCTCCTTTGGGAATTTTATTTATAGTGATGCGTCATTTTATTTATAGTGATGTCTTAAATGTCATCACTACAATTCACTATACTCATGAATTTAAATATTAACATTTTGTAAAAAGAATTTGTTTTAATGATTAACAAGAGCTGATTTTTCTCCCTCCCCCTATTTTCAGTTTTTCTCTTTTCATATATCTTTGCGGATCAAATATTTTGCCATTGTTTTTAGTCAAAGACATTAAAGGATAGAGAGAATTTTTCAAACACCTTAAGACTATCCCAGTAGTCAAGTGCTCAATAAACTTAACATTCTAATTACACCAATTTTTTTTAAAGACCTCAAGAAGAAAAAATATAATAAGATGCAGAGTATCTTTGTACCTTGACCATCTGTCTAGTTGATACCTACTTAAGGTCTTGGGACCCTTTCAAGGATAGCTGACAGACTGCCAACTTTAAATCTTGCCATGCACAAGCTAAAGATAGAAATTAAAATTCAACATTGAAGTGCCCTATGGTATATTGTTTAGAGTATTAAATACAATGTTAGAATAAAATGGACATATCAAATACTTTGTCTTTTATACCATCTTGCTGTTTTTCATTTCCTTATTTCTTTTGACTCTCTATAATTCTTTAAGTATTTAGCCTATATGAAAATGTTCCTCTGTTTACACTACCAAGATTAATGATTTTGGTACTTTAGGGGTTTTTGTGTTTGTTTGTTTTTTTGTGTTTTGACTTTCTTGGTGATGTGATTTTTGGTTTGTTTTGTTTTTTAACTGTACGTTGCATGGACGACCAAGAAAATGAATAGCTATGTCTTGGAGAGGGTGCAGCCAGAGTGCTCTTTGGAAGCAAGAATGATGAGGCTTTGCCTTACATACTTTGGATATATTCCTAGGAGATACTTACTATTCCTTGTAGAGGGTCATGATGTTTCAAGGGTGGACGGTCGGCAAAGGAGAGGAAGACCCTCAACAAGATGAATTCACAAGGTGACTGCTTCAATGTGCTCTTGTGTGTTGGGAAGTGTGATGATGGCACAGGACAGGACTGGTTTCAGATCTTTTGTTCAAAGGGTCGCTATGAGTTGTACTCAACTCAGTGAGACCTAACAACAACAACATCACCCCATTGTTAAGCTCAGCCTGCCCCATCTGAGAAAACTCCTCACATATAACTCATTTGACCTCTCTCTACCAAGTCTGGTGAAATTGTTCTGTACTTTGCTTGACTATTCTTTTTTTTTTACTATTCTATTTCAAGGCCTTCATGCCACCTTCAGTGCTGTCTAGAATCTCCCCTGGTTCTCAAACCATTTGAGAGTATTTCATTCATAGTCCTTTTCTTCTTTTTCCTAAATGTTGAGTTTGCTTTGTTCTAATCTCCTTCACTGCCTTTCTCATTTTGCATATTCATTATAATTCAGCTCTTCTGTTCTTTGTGCCTGGCTGACATGTGTAAACTGGCATGCCTTATATTTACAGTCACTGTTTTGTTAGAAATAGTAAGTTCAAACCATTGTGATCTATAGGGTTTTCATTGGCTGATTTTCTGTTGATCACCATGATGCCCTTCTTCTTAGTCTAGAAGCTTTTCTGAAACCCATTTAGTCTTAGAGTGATACAGAAATACCCACTAACAGATGTAGTGTGTCTATACTCTAGGTACACTCACTGGGGATCAGACTTTCATCTCCGACATGGAAGGAAACCACCTTTCAGCTTTCACTGGATCTAACTTGAGGTCTTCTCCCTTTGACCCACCCGATTACTTTGCATAGGCTCTAATCTAAGGCTTTCCCTGCACATGTCACACTTTCTTCTCATACTTGTCATATCCAGCTCCCTGAAATGAGAGACTGTGTTTTAAATCTCTAATATGAAGCCAAGGAGAGTTGGACAGTGAATAAGGATGGCAGAATAAATTGATATCTTTGTGTTGTCGTATTAGAGAGGTGTATGGAGTATCCTATGGATTGCAAAAGAACAAACAGATATGTCTTGGAAAAAGTACAGCTATAGTGTTTCTTGTAGGCAAAGATGATGAAGCTTTGTCTCACATATTGTTTTGTTTTGTTTTAAGGTAAATTAGTAAAGCTAGATTTATTACAAAGTTGCAGAGGATCAAGGACTGCAGCCTTCAGTATAGATTGAGGCTCAATGTCAAGAAGGCAAAGATTCTCACCAATGGACCAATTGGTAGCATCAGGATGGATGATGAAGAGATTGAGATTGTTCACAGCTTCAGTTTGCTCAGCTCCACAGTCAACACTCTTGGCACCAGCAGCCAGGAAATAAAAAAATGTATTGCGATAGGAAAGTGTTATTAGGGACATCTCTAAAGTACTCAAGAGCAACGGTGTCTCTTTGGAGACGAAGGTGTGCCTGATACAGGCCATGGTCTTTGCAATCACTTGTTATGCATCAGAGAGCTGGACAATGACTAGGGAGGACAGAAGGAGAGTTGGTGCCTTTGAGCTGTGGTGCTGGAGAAGAGTATTGAATGTACCATGGACTGCCAAGAAAACAAACAGATTCATCCGGGAGAGGGTTAAACCAGGCTACTCCTTGGAGGCAAAGATTCTGGGGCTTCGTTTGACATACTTTGGACATGTTGCAAGGAGAGACAGGTCTTTGGAGAGGGACATCATTCTGGGTAGTGTAGAGGGACAGTACAGGAGGGGAAAACCCTCTATGAGGTGGATTGATTCCGTGACTGGGGTAATCGGGATGGGTGTGTCAAAAGCAATGCGATTGGCACAGGATAGAGCAGGGTTTAGGGCTGTTGTACATAGGGTCGCTATGAGTCACAAACGACTCGACGGCACATAACAACAACAACAACATCCCCAAAGGGATGGGTCTTCCTCCCTGAAAGGAAATATGGGGGAGAAGCTGTTTTCATATGTTTTGGATATGTTGCTAAGAGAGGCTACTCCTTGGAGAGGAACATTATGCTTAGAAATGTAGAGGGTAGCAAAACAGAGAAAGACCCTCAATGAGGTGAATTAACAAAGTGACTGCAACAGTGGGCTCAAGTGTGTGAGAGATGATGTTAAGAGTGGCACACGATAGAACCGGGTTCAAATCTGTTATTCATTGCATGAAGACACCTAATAACAACAATGTGAACACCATGCCTAGGTCATAGGAGTCATGCAGTTGATATATCTTGTGTAAGTGAAGCATTATTTTATAACTGGTGGCATTTTGTAAAGTTTTTTGTTTTGTTTGTGTCATTTTGGTGCACTCTGCTGACGCAGGTTGTAGGGCACTGGTGTAGCTAACCCGAACATGACACCTCCGGTGGTTTGAAGACAGCAGCAGCTCCATGGGAGAAAGATGGGAAATTTCTCCTTCCATGTAACTTACAGCTTCCTGAAAACTCCCTGAAGGGTCAGCTATGAGTTGATCCTGACTTGATGGCAGTGACTTGAGTTGAATTGTTCAATTTTAATGAAAAGATCTGTCAGATGATTTCCTGAATTATCTTTCTTTATCACTGATCTGATCAGATTGTATCACCATTTCAGTTATTTCTCTATTCATCCTTCAAAACCCAGATCTAATGCCTTTGCTTTAGGATGGTAATCCAGTGAGCATATTCATAGTCTCATTTTGGATCATTTGTTTTTAGATCTATGGTACTCCACACTATGTGCTTTATACAGTAGTAATATGTATGTGTTTGGCTTGACCCAAGCACATATGTTTCTTTAAGACACATTCCAAGTATTTTAGACCTTTATGGGCTTCACTGTCTCTGCTTTAATGTGGATGGTGTCTCAGAAATGAGTTTCTGTATTGAGAGTGGAGAAATATCGATGCACTGTGAATCGAAGTCACTTGTATTATCTCAACTTGGAGAGAAAACAAATTGTAAAAACACAAATGAAGTGATTCTTGGTTATAGAATAAGACACATTAGGACAATTCATAAGGAGCTCTGGTTGCCTATTGGTAAAGAGCTTTACTGCCACCCCAAAAGGCAGTATATAGTTCATACCCACTAAAAGCTCTGCAGAAGAAGGAGAGGCAGTCTCCTCCCATGTGATTTACTGCCTCTGAAAACCTGCTGAAGGGTCAGCTGTGTGTCAGTTCTGACTCAACACTACTAGTAAAAGCCGATGTCTCAGGAGTCCTGATGGCATAGAGCATTATATGCTGAAGGGTCATTGTTTCTAACATCCCAACAGGTCATTCATTCATTTATTTATTTTACCACATATCATGAGCATTTATTCCTCAGAAAAGAGTATACCATCTTGCAGAAGTTTTAGCTTCTTGTAAAGTTTCATCATCACCTGTATCAGCAGTTTGCTTGCTCTTATTGACCTGAACTAAAAATCTAAGACGGAGCAGATCCATTCACCAGCACCATCATTAGGAAGGCTATAAATTTATCCTTTGCTGCGGAGCTAGAATACACTTAAAATCAATTCCAGAAAACAGTTTTCCATGTTCTGAGGAGAAAGTACCAGTATCCATTTGCCATGCATTCCAGTGTCTTAAAGGTTAGCCCTGTCTTAAATTTGTCTTAACTCCGAACCCAGTTTTGGTTTTGTCTGAAAAGAAAGAACCCTCTGGTAAGAAATCCTTTCAGAGTAGTGTTTAAAATCCAACTGGTCCTTTAGATGGCAGTCTCCTTCCATAAAGATTTACAACCTTGGAAATTAGTAGATGTCAGCAAAACGTTGAATTCACTTAACCACAATGGTTTTGGGGCATGATATCTCAGATCCCT